TCTTGTGACAAGTGGGAAAAATTATAAATAAGAGTTAGGTGATATTATGAGATTACTGTTAATTTTCATAAACATTAGAATGTTATTGGGATTATGCAAAAGTATTCAGGCATCAAGTGTGGGTGTATAGAGTATAACTGTGGCAAAATGTTAATAAATAAATATGGAAATAAACCCCCATTCTGAATTCTATGGCCCAAGGAAGGTTCTCCCACCTCCCAATCGTAGATGATGCTATTGAGCAGAGTCTTATGTGATTGGTAGTTGTGCTGCTCCATACAATTTCACAGGCCTTAGCAAAATTACACTGGACACGCATACACGTCATATAGAAGAGATCACCTAGGACTCTACCAATCCTCAAAGAGTTGCTTATCTAATCTTGGGTTCACAACACAGGTACTGACTTACGGCCTGGGTTCAGAGTACTGAGTCACCCAAGCCTGGATTTTAGCACAGCCTGCCACTTATCTGCTTAAGTACCTAGATACGGTACTTAACCAACCTAAGCTTTGTTCTCGCTGCAAAGTAATACAAAAAGGGGTGACGATGAAATGAAAACAAAAACCAAAAATGTGAAGCGTCTGGCACAGAGCTTATGCCTAAGGCATGGCAGCTATTATGGTTCAACCCCTTTGTAACACGGGATCTAGTTTTCTGACTGGAATGCATCAGCCTATTTTGATTTGGATTCGTTTTCCTAAATGAAAACACAGACTCTCTGACACTTGATTGTAGGAAGGCCTGTGAACCCATCTCACATAATCGTTATGAGGTGGCTTACTACCTTAAAATGGAGACAGGCTTGCATCCTCCAATGTCCAGATTGAACAATCTGTACTGTTAAAAAAAAATCAAATCAATGAAAGGAATTTTTAAAGAAGTGGTGTACGACTGGGTTCCTGCAGATAAGGAACTAAAATCTGCGGGGGAGAGGGGGGACAGTTGGCCAAGATCCATAAGAGGTCAACAGTAGCAGGACTGGGCAGGCTCTGCTAAGAACAGCTAACTAATACAACAGTTGCTGGTTGGGAGCCTGTTACTTACCTGCTCAGCACTGCCTCGGACCTGTCCACGTTACTCCATTATGCAACCCAGCACCAAATCCTGCCGGCTCCTCAAAACACACCCCAGTGTCTTCCATTTCTACCCCACCTCCACCCAGGCCATTTCTCACCTGCATTGTCCCTGCCTTCTAACTGCTCTCCCTGCTTCTCCTCTGCTCCTGCCCCCATCCCCCGCCAAACTATTCTCCACCCAGCAGCCAGAATAATGCGTGTAAACACTCCAGTCATCATTTCACTCCTGCTCCCAAAACCTCCAAAACTTCCCATTTCACGGGGAATAAAATAAATCGGTCTTCAAAGGGCCCCTGACTACCTTAGCGACTTCATTTCCTACTACTTTTCAGTAAAATGATTTCCTTGAAGTTCCTAAAATGCTAGAAGCCTATCGCAGGGCTTTTGAGGTTGTCCCCTATGCCTAGAACACTACTTCCCCACTAGCTACCTGGCCTGCTCCCTCACTTCCTCAAGTCTACACTTAATTGTCACCCTTTTAAAGAGGCCGTCCCCAGACCACACTATATAAAATGCGGCTGAATGAGATGCCATGTCTCCACGCCACAGGGTACCATGCCGCCGTACAAAAGGAATGAGGCTGGTCTCTGTGAAACGGTGTGGAATGATTTTCTAGACATATGGTTAATGGACAAAAACAAAGTACAAAAGAATACGCAGTGTATGTTACGTGCTGTTTAAGAAAGGGAGTTAGAAATAAACAGGTATCTGTTCATAGCTGCAAATAGAAACAAGAAAAACAGAAATAAATTATGTTATGGAGGGAAGGAGAAAAAGGCAATAGGACTTCTCTGAGCATATCTTTTTATATAGTTTTGATTTGAACCATGTTAATATATTACATATTTAAAAAATTAAAGCAAGGGGGGGAAAACCCTAAAATTGAATAGAAACGTAAATGAATTAATGCAACTATACAACTATATAAATTGATACAGCAACCACACAGAAGGAAAAAAAAATTAATCCAAGAAACTTTAAAATCCAGTATTCTGTACATATTCAGTGGAAACGTATGGCCATTGGATGCTAAAACATTGGGTGAAAGATGGTTGGGGAACAAGATAGTCACACAGTGTCAAAGTGTGAATAAATCACATGCTATTTACAAAGGGGACAGGGACCTCTACAATGGAGAAATCTGGTTAACCTCACCTGAACCAAATAATCGAAAGTAACACCTATAATAAGGGGGCAAATGGACTGCATCTGCCCCTAACGCGACGCACTGACACAACACACCCATGAGAAATTCCTGCCCAAGAAAGTATGAACCAGAATCTAATCACACACATGAAAAACCAGACAATCCAAATCAAGGGACATTTTATAAAACTACTAGTCCAGATCCTTCAAAAATGGTGATGTCATAAAGTACAAAAAAAAAAAAAAACCACATAGGTAACAGTTTTAGGTAAAAGGGGATTAAAGGAGCATGTTTCGGGATTAAAGAAGCCATACTGGCTTCTGGGCTCTACAAGAAAAAATAAGTCACATTTTCCGGTGATAATTGTTCTGTGACTTACTGAAGACACAGTGTCCTTAGAAGACATGTTGAAATATTGGGGGATACTTACTTGGCAGGGGAGATACCATGATCACGAAATATTGGAGGATAAAGTGCCATAAGACCTGCAACTCTCAAAGGGTTCAGCATAAAAAAAAATGTTAAGTGTATATGTGTGTGTATAGAGAGAAGTAAACCAATGTGACAAAACGTTAATAGATGGTGATTCAAGGAGGAAAGTGTGTACTCGTAAGTAAGTGCTCACTGTACTAATTTTGCAACTATCCCAAAGATTTCAAATGTTCCAAAGTTTTAAAAACTTAAAAATATTTACCACTTCCACCTCCCTTTCTTCTGTTACCCACCTCTGTATTAGTAAATGTTTACTAATTAGTAAGTGCCTATGAGTATACATTTCCTCGTTTATTTACTTACTGTCTCTCTCCCCCATTATAAAATGTAAGATTCACAAAGGCAGGGAGGAGTCTGTTCCTTGCTGCATCTCCAGGCCCAACACATACTTGATACTCAGTGTCTGTTGAATGACTGATGTTCACAATCATTCTATGAAGTAGGTCCTGTTATCATCCTCTCTCTCGTGTGAGTGGTGCTCTCACTCTTCAAAGGCAAAGATCCTGAGGCACACAGAGGTTGGGTAATTTATAGAAGTTACTATAACTCAGGTGAGGGGCAGGGCCTGGGTCTGAAGCCAGGCATGGGACTCTAGAACTGATGCTGTCAATCACTGGTAGGCAGCTTCCCTAGCCCAAGCGGCTCACCTTCTGCAGCGTGCACCATACATTCAGTCAGCTCATCGGGAGGAGAGTCACCCCACCCACTCAAGCTCTGTGTCTTGCCCTCTTTCCCATAGCCACCAGCATATGAAACCCTCCCAGCCCTCTGGGCCCTGTGATGGTCTCTGCCCTGGCCGCCCTGCCTCCAACTCCTCTAGACTACAGTCCTTCCTCTTTAGTGCTGACAGATTATTCATGTGCATGGTTCTGATCCTGTCAGGCCTAGTTTTTCTGTCTGCAGAAGATCATCTAAAATCCCAAAGGGGACAATCAGGGCTCCGCAATGGGGCCTCCAGGTCCCATGGGCACACCTGCTCTGCATTGCCCTAGCTCACCCCGTACACTCTGTCCCCCTGTCTTTCTTACCTGGTCTTCTCCTCTTGGAATCTTGTCCCACATCATGGCATGTCCACATACCACCTGTCCTCAGAGGCAGGTTCAAATACTCTCCCTTCCATGAAATCTTTGCTTCCCAAAAGATATTTGATTTCTCCCCTCTACACATCCATAACACTTTATGCTTAGCCTCTCTCACGACATTTACTTCTGTGCCTTATAATACAGGTACTTTGAGCTTATCTCAACCCCTCCCCCTAGGCATTACTCCACAGATGTATGGACCCCTTAGGCACTCAATAAGCGCTGAATGCGCAATGCTGATGGAAGATTGATCTGGTAGTATGCGCAAAGGGCCCCCCCCCCGCAATGGTTAACCCCCAAGAAAAGGAGAACTAGTTAAGGGGGTTATTACGATGTTCTAAGGGTGTGGCTATGACTTAACTAGGGGGCTATAGGTGAAGGAGTTTGTGAGGGGGTAGGTAAAAATGGAGACAGACACTGATTTCATGGGGTCCTTGCGACGATTTAGCCGGAATGTGACTGGGATGAAGGCAGCTCTAGACAACTCTCACACATTAGTTCCTTTACATTCTGGAGGGAGGGGAAAGGTGTAAACAGCCGCACTACTTAGAAATCCTGCAAGAAGGACCTCTCCTGCGCGCCACAGGGCAATTCGTGAGTGTCACTCACAGGCCAGCGGCGGGGCTGGTCTAGAGCTTTCGCATCACGCTGGCTGGCAGGGACAGGCACTCCGCAGTCAAGCGCGTTTTGGGGCAGATAGGACCCGCGACCCAGACCCCGTCCCGGAAAAGTTCACAGGCTGGGCAAGCAGTAATACGGCGCGTTCAAGTTCTCGGCGAAGGCACCTCACCAGGCCCCAGAAGTAACTTAGCCCCTTGAGTGTGAGAATAAAACGGCACACTCATCGGGAGCAGCTCTGGGTGGGGTTGCAGAGCGGAGTTTCAGGCGGCGGCGATCACCAGACACAGGCAACGGGGGGGGGGGGGGGGGACCCGGGAGGAGTCCCGTCCCTGTGGTTCCCAAGCACGATTCGGGCGCCCACCGTCCAAGTTTCTTCCTGCCCATCCAAGGGAGCCTTGCTGATGAAATGACAAGGTCCCCGCGGGCTGTGATTCTCTGCGCCCCGTCCCCGCGCCATCCTGAACCCAAGATCCAGTCGCCTCGGGCCCCGCCCGTCCATCCGGCTCCGCACCCCTGGGGCCACGGACGCTCCGGCGCTGCCCAGTCCCCGCGGGGGCTCCGGGGAAAGCCGCCACTCACCGAATCGGAGCAGGAACAGCCCTGCCACGGCAAATCCCGTGGTGCCAACCGCGGCCATAGCGCGTCTGCCCGGCCTTCTGCGCCCTCCCGTAGCGCGAGCGCGCTCCGCCCCGCCAGCCCGGAAGGGCTCGCCCGCTGCAGGCTGCGCGCATGCCCGGCGTTGCCTGCGTTCGGACCGCCCTCCGTCCCCGGCTGCGCCTCCCGGCCCGCCACCCACCCCCAGCCCTGTCTGCTGTGCGGAGCTCTCCCTTAGAAGTGGCTTGCGTTTTTATTTTTATTTAAAGATTTTATTGGGGAATTAGGGCAGGGGAACAAACAGTGTTGGGGAACTAGGAAAGGGGAACAGTCAAGTTGTCCTTCAGTCTTAGCTGTGGAGGGCGCAGCTAGCTCAGCTCCAAATCCAGCTGCCATCCAGCCACCACTTGGCGGCTGGTGGCAGCTCAGCTCAAGGCACCCTGTTCAATCTTAGTTGTGGGAGGGCGTAGCCCACCACTGAACAGGGAATCTTGTTGTTACACCAGCTGAGCCATCCTGCCACCTGTTGGCAGCTTAGCGCCAGCTCAGCTCCGGGACAGCGTCCCTGGCCCATGTGTGGGAATCAACCGGGGGCCCTGTTGCCCAGAGCTTGCACTCTTAAGCCAACTCTTAACCAACTGAGCCACTGGGCCGGCACTGGCTTGCGTTTTGAAAAGCAGGTTTATCCTCGTTCCTTCCGCACCTCCAGCTCTTCTCCTTGGCATTTGGAGAGTGGTTGAGGCAACTCTGTAGCTGGGGGGGGGTGTCATGCCCCCAAAGCTGCGCTCCCCCTCGGCTAGCCCCTGAAGTGACAATAGAACTCGGCCCAAGGACAGGGAGGCTCTGAAGCCCTTTATTCCTTCAATGCTTTCTAGCAGCGGCAGCGGCGGTGGTGGCGGTGGCGGCGGCAGCGACGGCGGCGGCAGCAGCAGCAGCAGCAGCAGCGCAGAGTCTTGTTTTTCCTGCAAGTGACTCCAGCTAATGGGACTCCGGACAAGATAGCCACTGTTTCCTCAAACATTAAAACAAAAGGAAATGGGAATTTTAGACAACTCCTAGAACGTGTGGTGGTTGCTGGTGCAGCCAATGCCAGTCATTCCTCATTCAAGTGCATAGCACCTTTGCCTGATGCCTGCCCTCCACTCCCAACACCCGAGCTGGCATCTCCAGGCTTTGGTTTCTCCTTTCTCCATTTCCCTCTTGGTTTTTTCCTCCTCTTCTCAACTATGGACTTTCCCTCAGGAGGAGGGGTCAGGTCTGTTCATGCCATCACTGTTCAGCCTGCCCAAATCACCCACCTTCACCTCCATCTGATTCCAGACTAGATTTCTCCCAGAACTAGCCCATTACATCAGCCCCCCCGAGCTGCCCCTTTCTTTGCCCCCCCTCCACAGCTGTAGAGTTAAGGGAACTGTCCCAGGAACAGGACCCCTGCTGTCCTAATAAACATATTGCCAGTTGTGAAACGGAGTGGAAATGTTTGATGATTGCTGTCATCAACATCGTCCTCCGGTGGGGACCCCAAACCACTCAAGGCACTTGGACTAGTCTGTAAGAATTTGTGGGTTGTTTCTTAAATTAGCCATAAAATCTTAAAAGGTATTGCCAGCAGTGACATTTCTGGGACCAATGGCCTGTAACCAGGAAACCTGCCACTTTAAGACATCCCCTATCATCTGTAGATATTGAGAACATGAGGCAGGGGCAGTGTGTAGCACAAAATGTTAGAAAATCAAGTTTCTCCTCTGCCCTGGTCTGGTAGGAACTCGGGCCAGCTTGGAAAGGTAGGATGGGTGACACCTTTAGACACCGGCAAGCCCCTGAAAGGTTTTGAGCTTGGAAGTGACGTAACAGCAAACATCTATTGAGCACTTACTATGAGCCAGGTCCTGTGTTAAGTGTATTCCCTGGATTAATTTAATCTTATTGCTGTCCCTGTTTTTACAGATGAGGAAACTGAGGATCAGAGACGGTAAGTAACTTGCCTAAGGACCAACAGTATGGGGTAGAACTGGGAGTCTAACAAAGGCTAAGTCCAAAGTGCCACTCGTACTCTTTCATACAGGAGCAGGATGCACCTTATGCACCTTTTGGGTGGGCAGCCATGCCAGCAGGAGCCGCCAGCTCCTTCTCGAGCAGGGCTGAGGAAAGGACCGCCCAGTCCCCTGGGGCTGGGAAGTGACCCCCAGGTCATGGTCTCCAGGCATCTGGTGAGGAATGATTCATTAGGTCTGCCTTGGTTGTTGGATGCTCCTCTGACCAACAGGCAGGCCAAGTTTTTTTGTTTTGTTTTGTTTTTAATTTTATTGGGGAACAGCCATGGTCATTGATTACTCATTGCTTTCATGCTACAATGGCATAGTTGACTATTTAGGGAGGGCGCAGCTCACAGTGGTCCATGCGGGGATCGAACCGGCAACCTTGGTGCTATCAGCACGACGCTCACCACCTGAGCTAACCGGCCACCCAAGAGCCAAAGCCAGCTGTTTCATTAAGAGAGAGGCTGTGCTCCTACCAAGCATGTTGAGAAGCACTTACATTCCTGGCCTAGCAGACTTCACGAATCAAAAGCGACTCCAAAAGGCTTACCTGTAGTGTGCATCGGGCGGGTGGGCAAAAAGGCTCTAGGTCATATACCGCAGACTTGCCCCCAAAAGAGGGCTGAATGTGTTTTTCATCCTGTGACCAGTGTCGAGCGGTCCTGTGTTATCTGCTTGTCACTGTAGGTAATCATGGATGAGGAGCTAAGGCAGGAGTGCCACTCAGGCTGCTCCTGTGGCCCAGGGCTGCTGCGCTTGCTCGCACGTCCCTCTGGGCCTCTGGCTCTACTTCTTGCCAACCTTGAACTACCCCCAGGAAGCCGACGCGTACACACCCTAGAATTTAAAGAGGAAAACACTGCTTCTAATCTTGCCTCTTGAAGAAGTGGGCATTCGCTTCATTTATATAAACACTGGGCGAATTTGCACCGAGGGCATGGAGGGGTAATCTTATTTTGTAACTCTGTTTTCCTTTTTAAAATGTCCTCTGACAGAAAGAGAGCATTTGGGAAAATTTAGGCAAAAAATAATACACGAGACTTAACATGGAACCAACCATGGTGCATACCCAAGGGGAAAACAGGCACATTTCAACTCTGGCCAAGCCAGCAGCTGCGAGAGGTTGATAAGGGTGCAGCAAATGGGGCTGCGGAACACAGGAAGGCACACATTCAAGCCTTTGAAAGGCTTGGATTTTAAAAGGCAGAAAAAGAAAAGGAGGCACCCGCTTTTTACCCTCCATCTAGTTCCTTTTGCATATTCTTCAGTGAATTTTAAAGAATTACAGATGGGTTCATGTATCACCGCTGTGGCTTTCATCATTCTGTCACTCTTCTCCCCGTGCAGACATGGTGAACTCCAACACCCCAGCATCTGAGCCGGGCAGGGGACAGAGACTGGTGTGCTGTGCGTCCTCCTGAGACATGCTGGCTGAATATTTTACAGGCTAGTTTGAGAAAGATGGTGGGCTCTCGCTGCAGAGGCCCTAGGTGGCCAAGGAGAAGGGTGTCCCATGTTCCTGGCCTTCTCCACCCCCAAAAAGAAGAGGTTATACGCTCTACATTCTGAAGCTGCCTAGCAGGCCTCCAGGTGAACTGTGTGGTGCACCACTCACAGGGCAGCATAGCCTTGACTGTCAGGGTAGATGTGTCTATTTACTGTGATACGTTTTCATGTATCAGGTGACAGTGTCTTGAGAAAGGAGTGTATTTTCTCATTTGTACAAAGGCACCACTTAGGCTGGGGGTGGGGCATAATGATAAAGGTTGCAATTCATGAGACTTGAGCCTAGCAGGCCAATGTCAGGGGCAGAGCTCACTCTGGGCCTCCAGGGCACAGCTTCACGGAGGAGAGTGGAGGAGAGTGGCTACGTGAGGAGAAAGGACAATGGACTCCAGGAAATGTAAACAGCCATATTTTCAACATAATTTACTACAGGTGTCTGAAATGTATATAAAACATTTTAGTGCAACATCTTACAAATAGTTTTCCTTTAAAAAAAAACAAACAAGCGAAAAAATCAACAGTTCTCTATTACCATGCATGGGTAGTTTTCTTACCCCATCTCTTTTTTTTTCCTTCAACAATTAACGCAGAGAAACCATTGTTTGACAAGAATATGAAAATTTGCTATAGAAACACCCTGGTGAGAGAGGGTGTGGTCATATCCACGTCCTTGGATGGGCCTAGCCCACAGTAGGTTTCATTAATGCAACATCGTAGATAAATCAATAAAGTCTCTCTCCCCTGGTAGGAGGACTAAAGGCTCCAGTCCACAATGTGCAATGAGGTCTCCCAGCCACTGGAGGGCACCATTACCACTCATCTGACCTAGCATTTCCATAGAAATGGCCAAAGAAAGGAGGTCCTGGGGATTTTCATAGAAAGCTAGAAAAGCTCACCCTTTGACTGTCTCCCCCAGCCCAATAGAAAATACACAGAAAAAAAAACCACAATTATTAAAATACTGGCTTCTGGTTTTTTTTTTTTTCCTTTCCAATTTCCCACAACGGCTTCACCTATTCAATTATGTGCAGTGCCCACCCTTCTACAGCTGTGAACCAATCAAACTCAAATCTTAGGTGCGCACCCCAGTCCCAGATCGCCCTCTGGCATCTTCCCATTCAGTCAGAGAACAGTAAGCCATCTTCCCTCACTGGCTCCGTCCATAAATGAGGGGTCAGCAATTTCCCGCTAGAGCCCACACCCCTGAAATAAAGAAATGGGACAGAGGACTGCCTGCCTTCCTCTCCACTCAGCCGATTCTGCACCTCTAAAGCATTCGTGCAGGCTGATAAATGCAAACGGGCACACGAAGGCACCAGCGGGATTAAGGTGGCAGTGCCCACACTGTCTCGTAGGACAGTACTGGTGGACCCGGGAGGAAAAGGAGACAGGGCCATGTGAGCTTGGCAGAAGATGGGTGAGCAGTCACCTTGCTTCCCATCAGCTGGGATTCAACAAGGCATCTGCTGAGCACCCCAAAGCACCTAGACCCCCGAGGCCCCAATATGGATTGGCGCCCACATGGCCTGAGGACTCCTACAGCCGCCCCTGGAGTCTGTTCAATCTCAGAACAGAGTTTCACAGTAACGTCTCTGGTTACACTTCGTGCCAAAATCCCTGGTGGCTTTTTCCAAACTGGGAATTCCCTTGGGACTCGAGTTCATAGAGGAAGGGAGATGGCATTCTTGGCCAGCAAACAACAGGAACGCGAGGGCATAAAAACATCTTCGTGGAGTAAGCAAAAGAAAACGCTTGCAACAGATGCTGCTGCTCCAGGGGTCCCAAGCTTCTTGCCCAATAGTGTAAAACAACAGGGTGACACTGGCGCTGGTGAGCCTTCCAGGGCCATGTAAATAAAAGCCTCTGTAACAATGAACCATCAAATCACCTAAAACCACAAATAAGCTCTAAGAAAGGGAAAGGTAAAACAACAAAAAAAACTCCACAGACAAAGACATGTGAGGTGAGACTTTCTGCTGGGGCTAGGTTCAGAAAGGATTACAAAGGGCTGCGCTGGGAACTCCCCCTGGATAGTCTTACAGCAGTGAGAAGCAGGGAGAGGTAAGTGGTAAGGAGGGAAGACATCAATATCTTCAAGGATACTCACTGAAAGGAAGAAGAAAAACCTAGGGGGGCAGTGATTCCTGCCCGCTCTCCAACATCAGGCTCCAGAGAACCCCCTCCCACTGCAGACTGTCCCACTCTTCAAGGAAGTTAGCTGCCAGCCAGCCCCAGTGCCCTCCGTGGGTATATATGGTGGCTGCTTGGGACCCGTGTGTTCAGCTCAACGCTCTCCCTTTCCTACACTCTCTGGCCACTCTCCCTTAAGAGTTTGGCAAAGCACCTTAAAACGGAAGCCCACCTGCTCAGGTACCAGGTAGGGGCTGCCCTGGCAGGACAGCTCAAGCCAACAACTCGCCTTTCTTCCTTTCTTCCTTCACTAATCACTGGCTTTAGCAATCTGAAAGTCAGTAGCTGCTAAAATCCTTCTGCCCACATTAGCTTGCAAAGCGTGCGCTGTCGTGCAGCTTTGGACATGTTCTTAAAGTTTTCTTACGTTTTTTGGCAAGGTTGGGAGGAAGCCTACCTACTTTTGCCTCCCTGACAGACAGGCTGGCCGGGCACAATCTACTCCTAATGGGGTTATACAGGATTCCTCTCGGACATACACAGTTCTTTGAAGCAAAATTCAATGCTTTCATCTTGACTACAAAGTAGTTCCAACAACTCCAGTTGAGGGAAGAGATAAGATACAAATTGGGCCCACACTAGACATAATTTTCAAGTCTTGTTAAGAAAGTAAAAAAAATGGGTGTATTTTGATCCATGGATGGTATTTTCAATTGTTTTTGTTTGTTTTTGTTTTTTTAAAAAAAGGTCTTGGAAGAGATTCCTCTGCGCTCGAAAGTTTGTCCTTCCTTTTGCCATCCGTTGTACGTACGAGAAATTCAGCCACGACATTACGGAATCCAAAAAGGATAAACCAAAGGGATTTAAGAAGAGTCCATTACAAAGAATGAGAACCCCTCATCTACCTATCTGAGAATACTATATAAACCAGTGAGTTAGATGTGGCACCTGGAGCTACTCACTCACTACGTTACCAAAAACAAAAAACAAAAACAAAAAAAACAAGAAACCTAATTCCGCAGGGTGACGACACCTGCTCGAAAACAGCTAACCCACCCAGACTGCCACCTCGAAGCAGTCTGTCTCTGCACCTGATCAGGGACTGGGGACACTTCTCCAGTCTGACAGTTTTCTGTGCGAGCACTCCACAGTTGGGGTGTTGTCCGCTGTCCGGTCACAGAGCGAGGGGCAGTCAGGTACCTCGGCTCCTCCGTGGCTGATGTCCACTGGGGCCCCCCCTCAGTCTATGGCTCCTGGATGGATGCTAAGCACAGGGGGCTCCAAGCAAGTGGGGGAGTAGTTGAGGTGGGGTTCTTTGATCCACAGCAGGGGTACCCCATTCTTCCCGTCCGAGTTTTTGCTGGAGTTCCGGCTCTTGAAACGCACCAGCAGGATGGTGATGATAAGGATGCCGAAGATGGGGAACGGGTAGAAGAAGACGAAATAGAAGAGCGCGTCGTTGGAGCAGATGACCGACTGCAGGGTGGAACCTGAAAAGCGCAGGAGGGAGACAAGGCAATGAGGGCTGAGAGCCAGGACTGCCGGCTTCTGTTCCCGAGGACCTCGCCCGCCCCCGGGAGCGCCCTGGCAGTGCCCCCGCACCACCCTCTTTCCCAGGCTGCCACTAGGGGTGGGGAGAGGACCCTTGTGCTCTCATGCTCCCAAAGGCACTTCTTCCAATTCACATGGGAAGTTCGAACAAAGCGATGCTTCCATTTCCCACAGTGAGCCAACATTCCTGCTCCGAAAGCCATACAATAAAATGTAGTTGATGGACGGTGAACTTAACTGCATCTAGCATGGTGAGGAAGCTGATGGCAGCTCAGCCCAAGCCGCCTACCCGGTTATTTTGCGCATGTCCTTTTGCACTTAGGTCTACTCCAAACGTCCTTCTTTGGGACTATAACCCGTTCTCTCCCCGCTGGCTTCAGAGAGCCGTTTTACTAGAAATAGTGCTCGCTTGATTAACGTTATCAATTAAGATGTCATTATGGACCGTTTACAAATGTCCACAGTGTGTCTGTGGCTACACAGACCGCAGTGTTGGTTACGCCTGCATATGGAGGAGATGAACCCGGCGCCCCCAACCCAGTTCAAGACTGCTCCGTGACAGGGGACCCCGGCAGCAGCCCGGCCCCTGGGAGCCTACATTTTCTCTATACAACGGGCTGCTGGCTATCTCTACGTTCTATGCAGCTGAATTAACATGGACGTCCCCAGCAGGCAGATAAAATGTGGTCCAAACACCTTCCCTTCTACTTTTGGACAGTGAGTTTTTAAGTAAAGTGTTAGGGGCTCTGAGTATGATTTAGGTTTTTTCCTTTTTCCTACTGCATAGCTATTCCTCATTGGTATTATTAAGAAAATTAAAAAAAAAAATTTAACATACGCTTCCGCTTATGAGATTTCCAAAGAACATTAAATTGTGGATTGTCAACCACTGTTGACCTACAAAACCTCAATTTTGTAGAGTTCTATCTAAGAAACAGGAGGTAATCAAAGAAAAGAAAAAGCTATGACTAAACTTAAAATCCAATGTACCTGGTAAAATGTTTTGGTTCAAAAGAAGATAAAATTTCGAGCAATTTTTTTTATTTCTGCTTTATAGGCTGCTTTCTACTCTAACAAATACCATCTTAAGTCTGATATATTCCGCATTTGGACAGAAGGCCAACCAAAAGAGTGCCAAGCTAGAACAAATAATTTCCTTCACTCTCTGCTCATGGAGTCCCTCAGTACGATGAAAAAACTCTGAGTATGGCCCTTTCTGAAGCAACAGCTAATGGCAAGCAGGGCCACTGCAAAGCTCTTCCCAGGTTGCACTGTAACATCATTACCCTTCTAGGCTGTTCTTCCCAACTAACCCTGAAGAATCCACCTGGACCTCCAGCTCTCCCTCCAAAATAAAAATGACCTGGGAACTTGAGAAAAAGAAAGCATGACCATGAGGTACTCAGGCTTTATAATTATTTTATTTTTCCTCTTCCTCTTATGCGTCTGAAACACTTGCTAATTAGAGAAAGAGAGACTAGGTTGGCTCTTCTAAAGTGTAACAAAGTAACATCTAACAATATACAGTAAAACCTTGGATTGCCAGTAACTTGGTTTGCGAGTGATCCACAAGATGAGCACACATTTCTAATACATTTTAACGTGGTAAACGGGCGATGTCTTGCAATACGAGTAGTTTGTTTCCAGAACGAATTATGCTTGCAGACCAAGGTATTACTGTACTTGTATAAGGAATTCTGACTGAAATAAACTCTGGTGGAGCATATGTTTATTAGAAAGATGAGATGGTATATGACAGCTTTAATTCCTAGTCCTATTGTTTTTACATGGGCAATCCAGGGTCAATTATATGCATTGGTATGTCAGATCCTATATGCCAGTGACATGTCAGAAAACTGCTTATGGACCCATAATCAAGCCATGATTTTATCCTCCAGACACAGTTGGGACCAGCTGTGACATCCTTCCCCTATAAATTGGGAAAACTCACTTGAGTCCAGGACACGGATCCCAATGGGGGCTGACTCCTCCTCAGTCAGGCGGTACCACTCCTTCTGCGGGCTGGGCAGCCACTCCTCCACACGGCACGAGTAGTTGCCGGTGTCGCGGGGACTTGCCTGCAGCACGGTGAGCCGGTACAGCAGAGGGGAGAGCCTCTGGAAGCGAAGCCGGCCCTCCCAGGCGCTGCCCTCTGGGCCGAACACGGCATCTGGGCCCACGCTCAGCAGGGCCGTCCGCTCTGTAGGGTCCTCTCCATCTTCCTCCTCCTCCTCCTCCTCCTCCTCCTCGCCCTCCTGTTCTTCCAGGCCAGGGCCGCCCCTTGTCCCTCCAGCTTTAGTCCGCAGGGAATACCAGGCCACCGCAAAGCGGGAATCCTGGCTCGAGCGAGACACGATGCTACAGTCCAGCTGGAAAGCAGCCTTCTCGGACACCGTGGCATTGGGGACCACCGTGTCCACCTGCAGGGTGGCGTCTGGGGGGAAGAGGGACAAAGAAGGGAGGAGAGGCTGTTTTAATTTCTTTGCTCAAAGCAACCTCAATGTCCATCACTGAAAACATTAGAGTGATACCCACACAGTAAGACAGCACGCATCTGCAGAGAGGGATGAGGTGCTATTACGTGCAGACATGGGGAAGGAGGCTTAAGAAAAATCATTAGCATACAGAACACTGTGCACCCTACATATCACCGTACGCAGAGGAAAGCATGCTTTATTCGGACATGCAGAGCTGCTTATATTTGCATGGAGTATCTGTGGAAGGATCCACCAGGAGTGGTAACAGGGCTGCTTATGGAAATCTAGGGAGGGAGGGACACTTGTTTTTGCTGTAGCTCTCTGTAGTGGTTGAATAGTGCCCGCCCCCCCCCCCCGCCAAAATTTCACATCTACCTAGAGCCTCAAAATGTGACCTTAACTGGAAACAGGGTCTGCGCAGATGTAATTAATTAAGCTGAGCCCTAAATCCAACGCCTGGTGTCCTTATGAGACGAGGACATGGAGACACACAGCAGGACACGTGAAGATGGAGGCAGAGGCTGCAGTGGCGCAGCCACGAGCCAGGGAACACCTGGAGCCACGAGAAGCTGGGAGGGGCAGGGCGGCCTCTTCCCTAGAAACTCCAGGGGGAGCGTGGCCCTGAGGACAGCTTGATTCCAGGTTTCCGACCTCCGTAACGTGAGAGAATAAATGTCTGTGCTTTTAAGCTACCAGGCTTGTGCTCATGTGTTACAGCAGCCTTGAGAAAGGAAGTCACCCTTTCGCAGCTTTTGCATTTAAACTGCGTCCATGTAGACCGCTGCCTACGTCACACGAATGTTTACCCAAAGAGGTAAATACCAGGGGTGCCAAAAAAAAGTATACACGTGCTTGTATTCATCTTTTGTTACCGGTATATATTATTATAATTTTAATACAGTTTTTTTCTTTCTTAAAATGTGTATACATTTCTTTGGCACCCTCTGTATTCTCCGAGGGTTGAAGCCAAACAACAGACACCAGACCTAAAAGAGGCCTCACCCTGAGTATGGACACCCCCTCCTCACCCAGGAGGATGACACTGTGAGTGAGTGTCTTCCCGGCTGAGTAGGAGACACAGGCTAGCCACAGGCAGATGCCCGAGCAGGTGAGTCACACCTCACAGACACCATCAGACAGGCAGTAATCTGTTTACTTTGTGGCTTTTTTTTGGGGGGGGGGGTAATGGCTCACTGGGGTGGGTTCTACACAAGCCACTCACTCCTTAGCTCCTAAAAGGCATCCCTTTGGCTCTGTTTATGAAATCCTCATGAAAGTTGCCAACGTAACATTGACAAAAACAGAGATGCCAAATCAGACTCTACTTGGATGAAGGCCAAATCGGAGCATTTCCCAGCACTGTCCTGGACTTTCAATGCATTGGCTTAATGTTGCTCACAGGTGAACACAGAGCTGGGGCCCCCACCGCTTTTGTGGAGCTCCGCCAAGCTCCTGCACACGCCCTTCGCCCATCTGGAATCTCGGTGCGCTCCGCTGGCACACCAGGGCTTAGGAGCTGCTACAGGCGGAGGGCACATGGATCCGCCCAGCCCTCACGGGGGGAGAATGTGCTGGGCAGAGAGCGACGGAACGGAGACTATGAAATCAGTCCCAGGCCACGTGCTCCTTGGCTTATCCTTCCTGAGAGCACGGCTGACGTGTGACCCCAAAGCCAGAGAGAAATGCTGCGGAGCAAGGGACGGTGTGGGACACTTCTTCCTCCAGTCTAGCACAGTGTCCTGAAGCGACCACAGACCAGCAGCAAATGTGTCAAAGGAGGTGGCCCCAGGTAATGTCACACAATGGACCTGTTGTAACAGGCAGGTCAGACACCAGAGAACATTTAGTTCCCTAAAGTGCCTGTTTCCCACCTATTCTCCCTTTGTTTCTTCTTGTCTAACTGCTTACAACTTTTCCTGGCCCCTTGAAATGCCCTGTCTGCATTTAGTGACTCGATACAAGGTTTTTGAATGGACTTAATTTGTACCTTCATTCAAGCCCCTTAATATGCCTCTCTACCAATTTGGCTCCCCATGTCTGACTCCTTCTAGAGTAGGCCAACCATCTCCCTGCTCAAACTTGAACATCCTTTCCTTTTGTAGGTGTACCACAAGAGAGAAGTTCGTCTCTACCCCGCCTCTATGTTATGCTCTCTGTTTTCATGGCTGTAACCTTGACCACTGACTCTGGGTCTGTGTCTAATGAATGGGATTTTTTTCTCTTCCCCAGTGTGTGAGCCAAACTCAACTATGAAACTAGTTAGCAACAATCTCACTGAGGGTAGGAGCCCTTCATGTCACATATGCCATACTAAGCTTCACCCTAAGCAATGCTAGACGATTCTTCATGTAACTCTTGGTGTTACATTATTTGAAGTCTTCTATATGTCCAATGTATACCCCAGAAGAGAATCTCTGAAGTCTAGCCACACAATGAAGGTTATGCAACCACTAGAAACAGTGGTTATGAAATGCTTTTGGTGACATGGAAAAATGCTCACAGAAGAAAGTGGAGCTGGAAAAACATCGCATAAAAAGTGCGATCCTAATGGTTTACAGAGAAACAGAGGGGATATGAAGGTCTGTAGGTGATGAGGCCATAGATAACTGTTCTTTGCAAAACTATCCTTTCTGCTTTCCAAGTGTTTCATAACTAGCATGATCAACTTACACATGGTCACACACCACAAAACAAAGCGTTGGTCAGTGTCAGACTGCATATGACGCTGGTCCCATAAGATCACAACAGAGCTGGGAAATTCCTATCGCCTAGTGATGGCGTCATCACTGTAAGGTCATAGCACTACGCATTCCTCCTGTGTTTGCGGTGATGCTGGTGTAGACAAACCTACTGCGTGGCCAGTCGTGTAAAAGTACAGCACATACAATATGTACAGTCCACAGTGATAATAAACTGTTACTTGCTAATATATTTACTGTACTATGCTTTTAATCGTTGTTTTAGAGTGCACTCTGTCTGCTTATAATTTAAAAAGTTTGCTGTAACACAGCGTGCCGTGTTATGCCGGCAGCAGCCCTATACATCTCGTGTTTACCACATCTCTTGCTTGTACCATTTTCTCTTGTGCCTGATTTAATCTCGTGTTGTTCTGTGCAGTAACATGCTGCACAGGCTCGTAGCCGAGGAGCAAGAGGCCATATACTATAGAGCCTGGGTGTGCAGGAAGCTGTCCCATCTAGGTGTGTGCAAGGGCACTCGACGATGTCCACACAAGGACAAAATCGTCTAATGATGCATTTTTTAGAACGTATCTCCGTCATCAAGCAACTGTCATCACAAAGAAAGGAAGATAGGTTGGCTGATGCAGGCTACTTATCTGGCTGCACACAAGATGCAGGGTCACAGGTTTAAGGGTCACGTTGGGGGCACACAGTGTGGCAGGAAGGAAACATGGGTGGCCACTGCAGTCTGCTCATACTGGCATTTCTCTTCACCTGTCAGTCCCCTCATTAGTAAAAGGTACCACTAGGGCTTGCTGTGGAGGCTGAACAGAAATCGCCTAACTGTGGCTAGGGGTCAGTGGGCACTCCATAAGCGCATCTTCCCTCCCGTTCCACCTGGGGGCCTCAGTGTGGTGGTCCGCAAAATGGGTGGTAGTTGGAGGACCAGCGGGGAGTCCAGCTGCCATGTCTCTGCAATTTTGCCTTTGGGAAATGACGAGCAACAGTTTCTAGGCAACGTAAAAAGAAAGGGGAAAAAGCTCCCGGGAAATGTGAGTAACTGACAGTCGAGGTGGTTTCCCCTCCAGCTTGGTGAAGAGACAGTGGGGTGAGGCAACGCCCCTTTTGTGTAACCAAGGCTGTATTTATTCAGTGTCTGAAGTGCGTTCCACGACGTGCGGGGCTGGCACACCTGGGACGCCCCAGTAGTCCACCAACGGAAAGAGCTGCTCTATTCATACACAAAAACATTATGAAAGCTTCTGACGTCCCACAAATAGCGACGCTGCAATGCTCAGAAAGCCACCGAGACAAAGCATTCACACCAACGTAGGTCGCAAATCCATTTCTGCTCCGTGTCCTCAGGGGAACCACCGACTTTTGGCTCCGATATGCATGACTGGTGGTGTGGTGTGGCAGAGGACATAGGAGTCCTGTACAGCTCCGCCTTAACTATGTGTTTAAATGTGTTCACAATAATTACACCTAGTAATTACGCGCCTTTAGGTACCTTAGAAACAAACAATAGAGACAAGGAAAGCACAGGGCCATGTGGAAGAATCATTAGTAGCAATGAAATAGTTAGGAAGTGAGAGGGTGAAGGCGGCATATATTTCATCTTTTTCTGCTTCAAGAATGCAAATCAATTTTTTTTTCCCACTGAAAACCCGTAGCTGAATTTTTTTTACACCACATGGCTACTGTTTCCAGATTTCTGCATCACCACCATTTGTCCAAAATTGAATGTATTATTTTTTTTAAAAGAAAATATTCTATGCCTTGGAATAATTCATTAACAAATGTTATTCTAGTTAAGTCACAGAATCACCTCAGGCCGAGACCAGATGTGTGTACTTTTCCATTCGCTGGGGGGAAAAACATGTGAGACAATACTGAATGCAAGGCAAACCGCAAATGCGTGTATATTTAACTGCAGATACATTACTGTTTAACAAACTAATCTTATGCACCGCATAAAATATTACACACACAGGCAACAGTGAAGGGCGAGGCGGCCCGGGGACCTTAAACTCACCTGGTCGCATGACTGTCACGGCTGTCTGCCCAGCAGTGTCCTCTGCCCGTTTATACCACACGCCGCTGGGGCTGGGCAGCCACTCCTCCACATGGCAGCTGTAGGTCCCACTGTCCTGCACGGCCACGTTCTGGATGAAGAGGCGGTAGACGCCCGAGGAAGGGCTCTCCAAGTGCAGCCGCCCCTTCAGGTTGTTTTTGGCTGCCTGCTCTCCGTAGTGGAAGGTAGCCTCGCGGCTCAGGCGGGCCACGGTCTCCCGCTCCGGGTGGTTGGGCTTCCACACAAACCACTCCACCACAAGCTGGGAGGCCGCGCTGGTACGGTTCAGGACCACGCACTCCAGCTGCACCTGCTGAGTCTCCAGGGCAGACAGGTTTCCCTGCACTTGGCTGAGCTTCAGGCGGCTGTCTGGTGGGGGGAGGTGGGGAAAGGGAAGTCAGCCACCAGGAGACAACAAGCCACTTGCATGCACCCTTCCCAAGCACAGGTGAACGGGTGCCTTCCCAATGCAGAAGGATGGTAGCACCCTCAGCTAGCGGAAACATTGCTCCAGGGTGGCACCCTGCACATGCTGAGCTCCCTGATCATATGTCCGAGTGCCTGAGTTACATGGAGTTCAGTGTTATAGGAACAGCTGTCGCTCAGTTTATAACCCTCCAATTTAGATGCTTAGCAGAGGACAAGCACAACCTCTCGTCCTAGATGACTTGTGTAGATGACTGCACATCCAAACGACAGCAGACTACAAAGCAGATGGCTGACAGGAGCACCAGGCGGCTAAGAAGGGACAGGAAAGGGCATGGTGACAACCCCTCTCCAAGCCAGAGTAAGCAAATTTTTAAAACTGACCACATGGGGCCAGCCGGGTGGCTCAGCTAGTGAGAGCGCAAGCTCTGAGCAACGGGGATGCCGAGTCGATTCCCACATGGGCCAGTGAGCTGTGACCCAGCTGAGCTGCCAACAGGAGGCTGGATGGCTCAGCTGGTGAGAGCACGTGCTCTTAACAACAATGTTGCCGGTTTGACTCCCGCATGGGATGGTGGGCTATGTGCCCCCTCCAACCCCCCACCCCGCAACTAGACTGAAAATGGAGACTGGACTTGTGCCCTCCTCAAATAAGATTGAAGGACAACAACTTGACTTGGAGCTGATGGGTTCTGGAAAAACACAATGTTCCCCTTCCCCAATTCCCCAACAAATTCCCCAACACTGTTCCCTTCCCCAATTCCCCAATAAAATCTTTAAAAAAAAAAAGAAAGAAAAAACTGACCACATAAAGGGAATATGAATATGCTGGGCTTGTCAACCACAAAAGAACTGCGGAAGAAACCCAGTTTAATATGTTCACAAGTTGTCCCTAAGAATAGCAGTTCTTGTTTTCTCTACCAAAACAAACAAACAAAAAAACAGAAAAACCACACGGGTTCCCTCTCAAGGTGGGAACAGAACTGATCTGATGACATCAGTAAACAAAAGATTGATATTGATGGAACCTCTGTCAAACTCAGTCAATCAGAAGTCTCATGAACGAGAGTAGGCCCTAATGGCATGCACGTAATTTTATAAAAGGCCCCAATGAGCCTGTCTGGACCAGAGGCACCCAAAAGCTATGAAACTTGTGAAAGCACAGAAGCACCTTAGAAAGGGCACCTCCTGAGTGATGTGTGAGGGGGGAGAGGGCCATGCACTTTCAATTTTTACTTTTCACACTTCAAAAGTGTCAGAATATTTTACAGTGCACATGATTACTTTTGTTATTAAAAGGTGAAAAAATTAAAAACAGAAAATATATTTTAAATAACCAGTCTCCCCAAAACACACACACACACACACACACACACTCACACACATTGTCTCTGGGTTGAAAGATTATTCTCTGTGCTTTTTTTGTACCTTCTGAAAGCTCTATAAGTGTCTTCTTTCTCAACAGAAAAGAAAAAGGCAGGGAGTGGGGGAGAGAAAGAGAACTAGAAATAGGGAAAACAAACCCAAAAACCCACATAAACCAAAAATCTCAAAGGAAAAGGGGGAACGTGTGGTTTGAATCAGCGCCCTGAGTTTTCTGTGTATAGCGTTAATCGTCCCCGTAAACAGAGATTTCACTGAGTGTGTTCTGACAAGGAGCCTCACAGCCCTTTTGCACTGCCCCAGTTAGCTTGGTCTAAGTCTGTAGCCTCAAATGGGGAAAGTCCCTGGATAAATTTAGGATCTACCAAGAATCTCTCAGTTTCGGCACAAATGAGAAAGGGAAAGGATGGAGGGTGACTAAGAGAAACTCAGAGGGGAACATGATCAGAACTGAAAAGATACAGGAGGAACAGAAATCTGAAAGAACAACTGTGGGCCTAACGGCAACTTTCAGAAGCTTTCAGAAGCCCCTGGGACTGGCCTGATGGCAGGACATGTGTCACTGGAAATGCCAACAGGAAGTACTTGGCTAGGGCTTCCTTTCAATGCACCAGAGAAAGGGTTGGCGCAAAATGCCACTGTGGGGGGCGGTGGGGGTGTGTGGCTATGAGAATCCCTAGACAGGGTCAGTTTTAGAACCACAATATCCTGATGGAAAGGAGGGAAGTAAGCCCACTGCTTTGGCGATTGGTGTGGGCCAGGCCACACCTGGGCTTCTGCATCTGGTTGTGTTTGCTTCCTGAACAAATAGTTGTGGGGGCCTCCTGGGAGATAAGCCGTGGAAAACAAAGTATCTATGCTCACTCAGGGAGCTTCAAGTCTGGGGAGGACACAGACAACAAATATACAAATAATGAACAAGTGATACATAATAACTGACCATCAGTAAACTTCTATAAGTATAAATAAGTGCTCCTAACTACTTGTATCTGAATAGGTAAAGAAACAGAATGCCAGGTGGTGGTATGTGCAATTAAGGGGACAGGGAAAGGGGATGCAGAGTAGTCGCTATCTTAGTTACAACGAGCTAAGAACGCCTCTCTGAGGAACAAAAAGATAAATTAATATCTATGGTCCATATGCTCCAGGCTAAGAGAACAGTAAGTACAGAGGCTCTGGGGTGCTTGTGGAATGCAACCTTTCATTCCTTATTCAACCCATATTTATGATGGGTGCCATGCCAGGGGCTGAAGCTACAAGGAAACAGCTCTCTCCTCAAAGTGCTTACAGCATAGTGGAGAAGAAATGCAAATAAACAATTATTACACTATGTATTTTATCAGAAATCCTTGGTGATATGTGAGATATCAGGGAAGACTTCCTGGAAGTGGTGCTAAGTGAAGTCTTGGAAATGGGGTGAAGACAGGGGAGAAGCAATAGGAGAGGGGCATTCCAGGTGGAGAAAGCAGCATAAGCAAAAACACAGAGATGGAACCTCAGGGTAGCAACACAACACCCCATGGCACATCAAGAAGGACAGGCAGTGACAACCAATTGTGGGGCATGCAGGAATGAGGGATGGGGAGGGATCTTGAGGCCACACACATTATGTGAGAAGTTCAAAACACTAGAGCTCTTTAACAAGGACAAGGGGAGGCTGACAGGGGCACACAGAGCTCCTTTCACATACAGTCACTGTCACTTAACGACAGGTACATGTTCTGAGAAATGCGTTGTTAGGTGATTTCGTGGTTGTGCAGACGTCACAATGCACTGACACACACCTCGATGGTACAACCTCCCGCACACCCAGGCTGTAGGGGAGAGCCCGTTGCTCCTTAGGCTACAAACCTGTACAGCATGTTACTGCACTGAGTCCTGTAGGCAACTGTAACATAACGGTAAGTATTCGTGTATCTAATCATATCTAAACATAGAAAAGGGACAGTAAAAATACGGTATAAAAGATAGACACCTGTGGGGGGCACTCACCATGAACGGAGCTGGCAGGACCGGAAGTTGCCCTGGGTGAGTCAGTGAGGGAGGGGTGAGTGGATGTGAAGGGCATGACTGCACACTCCTGCAGACTTTATAAACACCGTCCCACAAGCCCTCCCCCTGCCTCCTTCCAACAGGGTCAGAAACAGAACATCGAAGCTGTCAGGGCTGCTTCCTGAACAGGGATATGGGCTAAGTTGGTTGGAAATATCGAGGACAAACTGGCTGGTCAAGGCGTCGATCACTGTAACAGTGACTGACAGGAGGGAATGAGAGGTGGCCCCAGGGTCAGAAGGAATAAGGGATCAGTAAGTAGCTCTGAGGGGACAGGCTCCTCGGTGCTAAAACAGCTCAGGGGCTGACTGACTGAAGTGTCACCTGTGCACTCAAAACTGAGGGCCGGCCGAGTGGCTCAGTTGGTTAAGAGCGCGAGCTCTGAGCAACAGGGTTGCCGGTTCGATTCTCACATGGGCCAGTGAGCTGCGCCTGAGCTGAGCTGCTGCTGAGCTGCCAACAGGTGGAAGGATGACTCAGTTGGTGAGAGCACGTGCTCCTAACAAGGTTGTTGGTTCGACTCCCACAACTAAGATTGAACACGGCACCTTGAGCTGAGCGGCCACAGGCAGCCGGATGGCGACTGGACTTGGATCTGAGTTAGCTGCGCCCTCCACAACTAAGACTGAAGGCCAACAACTTGGCTGTTCCCCTTCTCCAATTCCCCAATAAAATCTTTTTAACAAAACAAAACTGAGCAGCAGTGAGTGAGAGGGACTCTACTGCCAAGCCCCACAGATACTGCTCCCATCAGAGAAAAAAATTCCTCCTGGACCACAGATCCTTCATTTCTTATAGGAAATTCAGCTCCATTATTACCTTAGGGGACCAGCATCCGTATGCGGTCCGCTGCCGACGGAAGCGTGATGTGGCGCATAGCTGTATGTGAAAGACTAGGACCCCAGCTTCTCTTGGTTGTTCCGGGGGCAGATCTATACTCTGAGAGGGATATTATGGGGAGGGGAACTTTCAGCAACTAGGGCTGCCCAAAAGTGGGACTGAGGCCTGTGGAGGCCGTGAGCGCGCCCGCCCTGGAGGCACTCGGGACGCGGTCAGACGCCATCTGTCAAGGGGCAGAATGAGGGCCGTACCCACAGGGTCTCAGAAGGGACCGACTCGATGTAAAGGGACCGACTCGATGGTGAGTCGATGTAAAGGCAGGAAGCGCTCATTCCTGGGCTGGGGACAGGTGGTGAAGAAGAAAGGGGAAGAAGATGAGGGAACCCATAAAATGCCTTCTAGGCAGGCATCCTGGGTACAGAGCTGGCACCAGCCCGAGATCCAGGGTGCACACTGAAAGCCCAGAAAGAAAGCCAGGAACTGCCAGGAGCCCTGCCCTGCCCCCCGGGCCTCTCCCTGGTGAAGATGCTGTCCGCAACAGCAGGCCAGGGGTGCTTTGCTGAGCCTGCCAGCAGCACCAGGACCCACTGTAGGCAAAGGGGGCGGGCCCACATGGCACGAGGACGGTCTGTGGACATGGACCCCGCGGAGCCCTGCCACCCCCGGCCATCTCTCTGCACTGAACCCCCTGGCCCAGGATGGCTGCACCCCCGGTCCTTACCTGGCTGCTTCACGGTGACTTCTGTGCGCCCCGAGACCTCTTCAGCCAGCTTGTACCAGGCATAGTTGGGGCTCAGCAGCCACTCCTCCACGTGGCAGTAGTAGCTGCCGCTGTCACTGACCTCGGCTCTCTGGACCGTGAGGCTGAACAGGCCCCCGGATACGTGCCTCTCAAACTGCAGCCTGGCTCGCAGGCCCTCCTCCTCGGTGTAGGTGCCGTACTCGAAGGCAGAGTTGTGCGTGGTTTTGAGGATAAGCTTGCCGTCGGCGTCCGAGGGCTTGTGGACATACCAGAGCACGGCAAAATGCGAGTTCTGGCTGGTCTGCGACTTGACGGAGCAGTTCAGCTGGATGGGCCTGTTCTCCACCAGGGTGAGGGTCCTCTTTGATTTGCTCACCTGCAGCTTGGTGACTGCAAAGCAAAGGGAAGGGGTTCAGCAGGGTCACCACGCACCCCTGGAAACATGGCCCGTCCCAAACCTCACCTCCCGGCTCCCAGGTGGTTCCTGGAGGACAGGCCACAGAAGGACTCCCTCCAAAGCGCAGCTCAGTGTGAGGAAAGCAGCAGGGAGCTGAGTTCGCCCCACACATCCCTCCACGCACCTCCTCCTTGCCTCACCACCCTCCTTAGGCTCTCACCATCTCCCCCTGCCTCACACAACCTCCCGCGGGATGCAGCTAAAATGCAAATCTACCCACATCATTTCTCTGCTTGAAATGTTTAATGGCTACCAACTGCTTTCAGGTTATAAAGAGAAAAAAAATTCCATTTCCCAGTACAAAGTTCCTGCAGGACCTGGCCCTCACACTAGTGTCCTGACGCGGTTCTCGTGACCTCTCAAGCCCCAACCCCCATGGAGTTTCTCCCTGAGCTCTGGTCTCTGCTCAGCTGTCCTGTCACCCTGTCTCCTTCTGCCATCTCCCCTCTGAGCCTTCTCTCCACTCCTCCTGTGGTCTGCACCCCATTTCCTTCCCACTGAGCTAGGTGCCCCTCCTCTGTGCTTCCATCAGCACCCCGGATGTACCTTCAGGCTGGTTTTCCTTACGTCTCTCTTCCTTCCTAGTCTGTGAGCTCCCCAAGGGCAGAGTTCAAGCTTTTGCTATTCAATCTGTAAATATTCAGAGTGTGCCCACTGTGCCCCCTCATGAGGCGAAGGGCTGGGGAGGCCTGGAAGAATCAGGAATGAGACAGTCCTGCCAAGAGAACGGTCTCATCACGGCAGCGCGAGAGCTGGGCACGGTGCCTGGGATTCAGAAAGCGCTCAGTCAATGTTTGCTGAGATATGGGAGTGAGTGGGTGAGGAAAGCAAGCACGCTGGAGAAACACAGCAGCAGGCAGCTAGAAGATGCTGGGGCGACCTTGCTGGAGTGTGGGGGTGAGCGGGAAGGCTGAGAAAAAAGGATGAGCAACAGGACAGATCAGAGCCAACGCCAGCCTCCCCCTCCCTCGCCATCTTGCTCCGAAACCAAAGGGGGGGCGGCTCAGAGTGTACCCACCTGCTAATTAATGACTGCGCTTGCCTTTAAGGTGGCAACAAGCCACGGTGTAATGAAATATATCTCATGAAGGTAATTTGAGATTGTACCCACTCCATCATTATTACACTTGGCTCTGCCTCCCTCTACCCACCATCCTTCCCCTACTGAAAAAAGCCGCAATTCCAAGTTCCTCTTTGTGAGCTAATAGTAAAAGCACCCTTCCATTCCACATCCATGCCTCTCTTTACACCACTTCGTCTTTCGAGAGTAAGCCACTCACCAGCTGAGAAGAAACCCGGAGCAAGGCACACACCCTGACAAGGAGGGGAGCCGGGCTGCCTCCAGTCGGCCTGCCCGGAGGGCCTGGGTCCATGTCCAGCACCCCTGCTGGTCTCTTGATCCAGACCCACGACTGAGCCCACTGATTGTGCCTGGGCTCCTCTGTCAGCGCTGTCCGGCTGGCTCGCTTAGAGCGGCATGGAAAGTCGGCATCAAGGTCCGAGTCCTATGCGCCAAAGCACCTGAAACTTTTCAAAGCCCAAGGCTGTCCCTTGGGGGCCCTGATAACACACAGACGACGCTTTCTGAATGGCTGAGAGGATTCATGAGTGAAGGTATGGCAGGGTCTGACACCCAACGCCACTGCTGCAAAACTAACTCTGAGGACACATCCGTCACCCGGTGGAAACTCAGGTGATGCTCTTTACAAAGACCCCTGAATTCACATACCTACACACCTCTTCGAGACATCAATAACACAGCAAGCATGGATTTGAAAGCACTCCCTCGTCCCATGCCCCACTCTTCCGGTTCATCTTTTCTCCTGCCTTCTCCCTTCTTCAAACACAAAGTCCTCCAGGGCGCCCTGGAGTCCAGGGCCGGGTTTACTAGTAAGCGCGCAAGCTCTGGACACTAGAGTCACATTAGCTCACCGGTCGGCTTTTCCGACCGTTCCTATAACACTTGAAACAACCAGGCCCTCTGCGCTCCTCTCCAGCCCAATCCACCGCCTGCGAATGACTTCTGTACCAGGCACATGACGCCGCCTGAAAGATCACGGTCCTTGGCCAAAAAAACTGGGTTTGTTCAGTGTCGAGTAGAAGAAGCTTTAAAATGTATTATTAATTGCGGCCAGATTATTTTTGCAACTGTTACTAAGGAAACCTCAATTGCTATAGTAACTGCATATGTTACCCTGGAATCCTATGACTACACTTCAATTCGGTCACATGGTCCTGAGGACGAGAATCCAAGGAAGAGAAATGTTCCAAAGCATTGCCATTTTTATTTTCCTCCCCATGTCAAAATATTGTGAAGTGTGGAAAAGCTTGAAAGAGAAGCATTTTTGAGATTTGGTGCACGCCTGGCAGGTGGGTGAGGGGTCAGCTCCTGTTCTGTGCTCGGAATTTCCTCGCACATCTCAAGGGCAGGGAGGACCTTTCCTGAAGCCCTGAGGAGACCGCAGCCTCCATGACTAATTAGGAAGCACTCTGTGCCCTGGGCGGTGTGTGGCCCACTTGCATCGCATTCCTCCACAGTTAAGAGAGCGGAGCCCCCTTAAGGACCTGAGGGGTTCTCATCTGCAAGGTTAAAAGCACCCAGTCTCTAGAAAGAGATTAGCATGGAGCCCAGTAGAGAATAAACATGCAGTCCATTTTCACTATGCCCTTTTTTTTTTTTTTGGTTTCTGGGCTCAGTCCCACGTTCTAAGCTCATTAGATGGAAAACTGTCAAATGTTTAAGGGGCGAGGTTGCTACTAAAAATGCTGTCCGTGGGCCGGAAGCATCTGTGTCACCTGGTAGCTTGTTATAAATGCAGGCTGGCAGCACCCTCCCCCTGACCCCCACTCCCACCCTGAGACCTTCTGAATCAGAACCTGCCTTTTAACAAGATCCCCAGGTAATTCATATGCACCTTAAAGCCTGAGAAACCTTGGGCTTGGCTGTGTGTGAGTGACAGGACTTAGCGAGGCCATACAGTGAGAGGTGAAAGGAAAGCGGCTGAGGACAGAGACCGGGCTCATCGCCCACAATGAATCGGCGGGAGGAAGAGGCAGGATGAAGGGTCAGAGAGGCTGTGAGCCGGTGAGGCCTCACCTGCGAGCACAGACTCCAGCTCACACCTTCTCGGGCACCTCACGACTCCAGGAGCCAGGCTGTAGCCTGTCTGCGGGAAGGGCCCTTTCTTTCTGCATCTGGAGTTTCCTTCCTAGGCCTCTGATGGAAATGCGCAGAAGTGTGTATTCTGCATTATAGGAGAGGCTGCTGTGTTACAGCCAGGACAGGGTGGTCTGAAGGTGGCAGGTGGCAGAAGGAACGAGACGAGCAGGTGCTGCGTCAGTCAGCCTCCCACCCTGCACACTCCACCTGGTGTGTGCACTTCCCACTCATAATTCACTTCTCCCATCAGTAAGGGACTCCCCAAAACCCCGCTGGAGCTCTGTGACATACTGCCTAAGGTGACGCTAATTTCTTTTTCGGCTGATGCTCTCATAGCTGTGTCCCCTCCCGTCCCAGCTGCTGGGGTGCCAGGGAGTCTGGGAGTCCCAGTGATGATGGGGCCACACCCAAGTGAGGGAGGGTGGATGGAAGGGGACTCCTTTCACTCGTCTTTAAATTAGCAGCACCTTCTGTTGCAGTCACCATGTCTCCTGGCGTGGGCTAAGCTCTTTTCATTCCCAAGCTCATCCCGATTGTACCAAATCTCAGAGCAGGGAATTACTACTTAGTACCATTTTGCTCTGAGACAAAGTCCTCCTCCCCTCCTTTTTTTTATAAATTTCAATTTAAAATGTTTTCTCTTTTCTTTATTCCCATCTGCCCCCCCCTCCCCTTTGGCCACCATCAGCTTGTTCTCTATATCCATGGGTCTCTGTTTCTGTTTTGTTTGGTTTGATTCCACATATATTGTGAGATCATATATTTTTGTCTGACTTATTTTACTTAGCATAATAATCTCTAGGTCCATCCACGTTGTCGCCAATGGCAAGATTTCATTCTTTTTTATTGCTGAGTAATATTCCATATGCACTACATCTTTATCCATTCATCTATTGATGGACATCTAGGTTGCTTCCACATCTTGGCTATTACTAGTAATGCTGCAATGAACAGAGGAGTGCAGATATCTTTTCAAATTAGTGGTTTTGTTTTCTTTGGATAAATACCCAGAAGTGGAATTGCTAGATCATATAGCAGCTCTACTTTTTTTTTTTTTTTATGTTTACTGGTTTAGTATAAAGAATACAATACAGGAACAGCCAAATGGATGAGGTGCATAGGGCAAGGTATGGAGGCGGGCAGGGCATGGAGTTTCCATGCCCCCTCAGGGCGGCCATGCCACCCTCTGAGCACACTGAGGTGTTCACCAACTCAGAAGTGCCTCTACTTTTCATTTTTAAAGGAACCTTCATACTGTTTCCACAGAGGCTGTGCTGCTTTACATTCCCACCAACAGTGCATGAGGCTTCCGTTTTCTCCACATCCTCGCTAGCACTTGCTGTTTGTTGATTTATTGACGAAGTTACTTTTTTGAAGGTCTTATATTTCCTAATTTATAAGCATCTGAAGGGCAGAGACTATGACCCAATCACTTGCTAATCAGATTAATAAATGAATGGCTGAATAAAGATGTGATTCACCTTTTCTTGGCGGTATGGGAATTGTAAAGGAAAGGCATTGAATCCTGGTTCTGACAGGAGGGTGAGAACTTTTCAGAAAGTATGTGACATTTAAGCTAAGCCCTGAAAAACAAGTGAGTAGGTGGTCCCCAGGCAGAGGAGAGTAAAAGGGCACCCCAGAGAGAGGGGATAGGTGAACACCCTGTGCACCGTCTTCAGGGAAGAACACGCGGTCAGGTGTGGTGGAGGAAGCCAGGAAGGTGTCTGCCAGACGGGGAGCCTGGCGCGCCTTCCAGACCCTGACCCCCTTGGC